GTCCTGGTATACTGAGGTCCCTGGAGATGGCCATTACTGAACGCAGGCAAAAGTTGGCTGATCAGCTTGCTGAAGCTGCTTGCCAACCTTCTACTCGCAGTAGTGAACTTCGTGCGGCTATATCAGCTCTTAAAAAGCTTGGGGACGGGGCTCGAGCTCATAGTTTGCTCCTCAATGCACACCTCCAAAGATATCAGTATAATATGCAAAGCCTACGCCCGTCAAGCACCTCATATGGAGGAGCATATACTGCTGCACTGTCACAGATAGTGTTTTCTGCTATCGCTCAAGCTGCTAGCGATTCTTTGGCTATTTTTGGTAAGGAACGAGAATATAGGTCCGAGCTTGTGATGTGGGCTACCAAGCAAACAGAGGCCTTTGCTGTTCTTGTTCAAAGACACGCATTAGCATCATCAGCGGCTGCTGGAGGCTTAAGAGCTGCAGCAGAGTGTGTTCAAATAGCTTTGGGTCATTGCTCTCTGTTGGAAGCTCGTGGCTTGGCACTCTGTCCTGTGCTCATAAAACTCTTTAGGCCTAGTGTTGAACAAGCCTTAAATGCTAATATAAAACGAATCGAAGAGAGCACTGCTGCTTTGGCTGCTGCTGATGACTGGGTACTTACTTATCCTCCAACCAGTACTCGACAGTCTGGCAGGTCTTCTGTTACATCTCTTGGCAACGCAGCAGTATTTCAACATAAACTTACAAGCAGTGCCCATCGCTTCAATTTAATGGTCCAGGTAAACACTCTTCCCCTTTGATATCTGATAAACTGTAACATTATACATATCTTCTCTCTATTCAAACATCAATTCATGAACTAGTCCTTTCTACTTGCTCCTTTTAATTGCCACTTTGCTGTTCATTTGGTCTCAGGTTATTTTCTTACCCTTGTATAGCCCTTACATGGCACATGCACTAACTCATATATTGTTTTCCTGCCTTTGGGCTTACTGCTGGATATATTCTCTTGAATTCTCTCTTACAGTTGGTTTACCCACTCTTCAAATGGCTTGAATGTTTTTGAATATTTTCTTGAATTCTCTCTTACAGTTGATTTACCTACTCTTCAAATGTCTTGAATGTTTTTGAATCACTACTCTTCTATATGATCGTCTGAGCACATGTTGTTTGTTCTCACAGTTGTTCAAGGGTTGCTTTTTTAATTGTTTCTTCCTTGAACTTTCAGTAGTTGGTTAATTCTTTCACTAAATTGCGTTATTGCACAACTTGAACATGTAGGACTTTTTTGAGGATGTAGGACCACTCTTAAGCATGCAGTTGGGAGGCCAAACACTGGAAGGTTTGTTCCAAGTATTTAACTCGTATGTGAACATGCTGATCAAAGCTTTACCAGGTTCGATGGAAGAAGAAGCAAACTTTGAAGGTTCTGGAAATAAAATTGTGCGAATGGCTGAGACCGAAGCCCAGCAAATTGCATTGCTGGCGAATGCTTCATTATTAGCAGATGAACTACTGCCACGTGCAGCCATGAAACTTGCACCTCTGAATCAGACTAATCACAAGGATGATCCACGTAGAAGACCCTTAGATAGGCAGAACCGTCATCCTGAGCAACGAGAATGGAGGAAGCGGCTTGTGAATTCAGTTGATAGATTAAAAGATACTTTCTGTCGACAGCATGCACTGGATCTCATTTTTACAGAAGATGGTGATAGCCATCTTTCTGCAGAAATGTATATAAACATGGTTGGAAATGCAGATGAAGTGGATTGGTTTCCATCCCCAATATACCAGGTATTATTTCTTAAATCAATGATGCCTTATATATATATATATATGTGATGAAGAATCCATCAAAACCTTATATATATATCTGGGAAAAGATGATGAAGAATCCATCAAGTACTATGGTTTAAGGTGGACAAGAAATCTAAGAAATGAATGCATTTTGAGTGGCGCATGCAGCATTGTTCTATGTTTGCTTCTATTCTCTGCAAGAATGTTGACTCGGGAAACCTATGCTATTTGTTTTGGAAGGTCATATTGACAAAGAAACTTTCAGGTGTCTTGTTTAGGCTCCCTTGATTAGAATCTAAGCTGTTTCACTCTTTGGAGAGCATCTGTTTCCTTAACTTTGCCTGGGAGCATTGGGCAACAGTGAATTGGAAGGTCATGTCAATAAAGAAACTCTCAGGTGTCTTGTTAAGTCTCCCTTGATTAGAATCTAAGGTGTTTCTCTCTTTGGAGAGCATCTGTTTCCTTAACTTTGCTCGGGAGCATTTTGGCAACAGTGAAATAAACAATCTATTTCTGGCCATACCACATCATAGGGACCTCTGTTTATTGAACTTCATGCCACACAACCTATAAACAGCTCACCACCCATCATTCTAAGAGGTTTCTCTCACCATTCACAGAGTGTTCTCATTGCCTCTTTTTTAGCTCTTCCAAGGCTGCTCATTCTCTCCCCCACTCATCTCTTTTTTTACACTGCACCTGATTCTCAACTAGTAAGCCTATCATTTAGGTGGTAGCTTCATTCCTCTATCGACTCAAACAAGTTTTCCATGCATGTAATTAATGCATTGTCCTAGGTGTTGCATTCAGGAATATCAGCTACAATCACCTAATTGATTGCGGTAGGTCTTTATCTACCCAAATAAGGTTTTTAAGTCTTTATCTACCTGATTAAGGTTCTTACTTATCCTCCTCCTACTTGATCAGGTTTAACTGTTTTAAGTTTGGAATTTTTTGGGGAAAATTGGGTATGAACAACTAGTTGGAAGCTCATTTGTGTAAAACTGTAACCAGATTAGGAAAAACTGTAAGCTGGCTAAGTTATCAGTGAGATTGGATTTGGCACATGGGAATGACATGACTTAAGCTTTTGATAGATGAGAAAGGCCTGTGAACTGTAATTGTTTGTGGCGATCTTAGATATCCATTGTCAACATTTTGCATTAAACATGCTCATCATTCATAAAATCTGTTCTTGGATTTGATGTACTTTTCTGTTTTGGAACTTTCACTCCAAGTTCTTACACTTTCTTGTCACTATGCTACCAATTCAGGAGCTTTTTGTAAAACTGAACGGCATGGCTGCTATAGCAGCAGAGATGTTTGTAGGAAGGGAAAGATTTGCTACATTGCTATTGATGAGACTCACAGAAACAGTCATTTTATGGCTTTCGGAAGATCAAACTTTTTGGGATGACATCGAGGAAGGCCCGAGGCCTTTAGGCCCTCTTGGTCTACATCAGGCATGTAACTCTGAGATCATTTGATTTATAGTTATATGTCATGAATTGGGTCATCGATATACTTATTTGCTTGTAAACATGCAGTTCTATTTGGACATGAAGTTTGTCATCTGCTTTGCTTCCCAAGGACGCTACTTGTCACGGAATTTGCATCGAGTTGTCAATGAAATCATTTCAAAAGCTGTGGCGGTATTCTCTGCAACAGGGATGGATCCAGACAGGTAAACTAGTTTATTTTTTGGTCTTTGACTGGCAGCAGTTTCATTACATATTCTCAACATAATCAGAAAGTATGCATAAACATAACCAAAGCTAGGGTAAGTTTATATTCTAGTTTATGAACTCTTCTGAAATCGAGAATTCATTTATTACATGGTATATGGGGTATGCGCAAATTATTGGGGGAACCAGTTTCCTAAGACTGCATGATAGATTCATGTGACTCTATTTTAACTCTTTAGTTGTGTTTTTCAACAAGTGTAATTCAACTCCTTTACATGTGTACTTATATTGTCTTGGAATGCATTTCCTTTTGCTTTTCTTCCCTCATTTTTTATTTCTTTTTTGAATATTATGCACTAGTTGTTAACATAGTAGATTTCAACAAGATGAAAACTAGTTGTGAAACAACTTTGACTTCCGATGGTTATTGCATATGTTATTGGGAATTTTGAAGATTGGGAGGTCTAGATTATTTGGCCCCAAGACCCTTAGTTGGTTATGTTGTTTTATTTTTGTTAGGAAGTGAGCTGGATTTAATTTATAACTTGGTATGTAGTTTTGAATCTTTTTATCAGTACTACATTTCTTGGGAGGCTTTTGCTGAGGATTAGCAGAAGCAGTAAGATAATGGTGTTAGATACAACTTACAATATGCTTGTCCAGATGTCAGCCTTTGTGTCGTGGCCCATGAGTTGCTACAATTGAATTTTAATTATTAGAAAGAAAGTAAAGTAATCAGCTGCAAGAAGCAGACAAATTTCTTAGGCATCAGGTTGTCGGATGTAATGTATCCACTGCTTATGCTCAATCGTAATTTATAAGGGTAAACGAAGTTCATTCTGTTATGCATTAATTATATGCCATCTGCTGCAAACTCGTGTCTTTGGGGTAAAATGCGTTCAAATAAGCCGCGTTAAGTGCGCAGGAAAATAGCCAGCATGCGTGCCTTCATTTATGTTTTAATCATTTCATATCAAAACACCTGGCTTTTCTGGGGCTGAGATTTCGTTGTTTTGTCAGGGTGCTGCCAGAAGATGAATGGTTTAATGAGATCTGCCAAGATGCAATGGAAAGATTGAGTGGAAAACCAAAAGCCATCGATGGGGATAGAGAAGTTAACAGCCCAACAGCCTCTGTCTCAGCGCAATCAATTTCATCGGTCAGGTCTCATGGAAGTTCGTAAGGCACAGCCCTTGTGTATATTAGAGAGAGTGAACAGTTTCTGTAATGGATTAGCGGACCCTCATTTTCTTTTCGTTTTTGTTTCTGCTGTCCTTGTTCCTCATTTTATTTTATTTCTCTCTCCTTCCCAACTTTCGTGATCGACCCTTCGTTCCCTATTATAGGATGAGGTTTGTATGAAAGCTGGGAATTCAAAGCATTTGAGTCTGTACATGTTTTCAATCATGAATCTGCATTTGTTGTATTCATTATTCTTTTGAAAACTCATGGTGTAACATGTAACTAACATGTTGCTTTTCGGATTGATGCCTCGGTTTCTGTCTTCAACTCCTTGCGGTTCTCATGTAGTTCTTTTTTCTGGTTCGATAAGCATTGATCATTTCAGTTCTAACATGACAAAGTAAGTTAATGGCTTAACTTGCGTCCTTCAGTAATGCTTTGTGATTCAAAGTTTGCCAATGCCAAAAATACACAAAGGACTTGCTTAAAAAGATTGAAGTGCCTGTAGTAAGGGGCTGTGGGCCCATCTTCCCCAGCTCCTTTCTATGGAGATTGTTGCTCTCTTCTTCTATCACACAGGACGAAGTTGTTAGGCAGCGACGATGCTAGAAGACTGAGATCTCAGACTGTACCCGCTTCCAAAGCCTCCGCAAAACTCACTCATTGCCCTTCGCATCCATGGTTATGTGCATCAGCCTACCAATTTAGACCAGAATTAAAGTGAAATTAGTGTGTTAACAAGATAAGGAGGAAAAGGCTGATGATGCACATGCACGTAGTGGTAAGAACATGGTAGACGTGGTAGTCTAAGTAAGAGGTTAGCTGGATTCTCAAATAGTTCCGTTGCTTCTTTATTTTGTAGTAGTTGTGCTGGTCTAGATGATGAACGCTTTAGGCTACATGGTGTTTCATATTGAGGTACCCATCTTGCAAAGCAAACTCTGAGGTGAGAATAAAACATTGCACTGGTAATCATAATCGTTAAAATTTGAAATGGCTGGGAGCTTGACAAATCTGGGAAAATCGTTGCTGCATTGTGATTCTTGCCTTCCCACAGCCTGCACGCCCACCTGGGCCTTGATTTTCTAGTTATTCAGTGCATCACCGTTCTTGTCAATGATGATTTTCATTTTCTATCCTTCTTGGTAAAATTATCAACTGTTCTCTGCTGAGCCTACCTGGTACAAATCATAAGCAAAGATCCATGATTAATGCACATCGATGCAGACTAGTCCAAACTCAACATGAGAAAATAAATGCCCAGAAAAGCTTTGCATTCCACAACAGAGCAGCTGGAAACGAAAAATAGCGAAGCAAGAAATAAAAAATTGGCAAGCCAGCCTATAACACACAAGATCGAAACAATCATCTGTGATGACCAAAAACACCATGAAACTCAAGTTGGCACCCAACCACAGCAAAGACATCTGAAAATGATTAGATGACACAACCAGATACAGATACCGTGAAGATATGAAAATCACAAAGTTGCGAGTCACTCACACAAATATAATTTCCGTTCACTACTCCAAGGTACGAAACAAAAAAGATATAGAAACGAATAACAAACTCACCATCCTAAAGAACTAGATCAAACCACCACTTTAGAGATATAGAGTTAAGGAATAAATCCACCACTCACAAAGGAGATACAAAACTTGATATTATGCAAAAGGCCAAAGGCCAAGTCAAAAGACTCTCAATTCAAATTTTGCTAAAAGATCCAAATACATTATCTGATTCAACTTAATATACTTGGAACAACCCTTCAAGTCTTGGAAAACACTAAGATGACATAATTAAAACCCAAATAAATTACTTTGACAAAAAAAAACTAGACAAATAATAATTATCACATGTTTCTAGCTCATTAGAAAACACAAACAGACACTTAGAAAGCTTAAAAACTAAAACAGGCATAACTTTCTGTAGAAAACTTCAATGCACGGGAGGTTGGACAATATGTAAAAATTACATTCTGAACTTGAAAGCCACCTAGGATAAGATTATTTTAACATACAATAAAGAGATGAAAATTAGGTCAGGGGCTGAGCGTAAACAGCAGCTTCATTCATTTGCATTGCCAACCCAAACTCAAGTAGCCCAACATCAAAACAACCATTACGGGACACTCCTGTGTCACAACCATAAACTATTTGTCAAAGAACCAATTGATTGAAACACAGTGAAGCAGCACTGGGAAAATAGCCAGCACTGCACAGCAAGCCTGCAATACGATGAAGAGAGAAGGTATAAAAAAATTAACAGCTCCTGAAAAGAGTAAAATGAACATGCTAGGATACAAATAGAATGGAAAGCAGAGGAAAAGGGACAGAAAAGAATGGAGATGCACTGATCACATTGCAGCACTACACATGAGAAACATAGCCTAGACCCAGAAAAAACAATCACGTTCAATCATAGGAGGCAAAGAAAGAATGATAACAATGCAGTGTCATAAGAACTCGACCACATAGGAAAGGGTATAGCAAGAAGAAAAGCTGATATTTGTAGGTGAAAAATGGCTGTTTCCGCATAGCAAACACCATTTCTAATGATATCTTGACACAACTGGTGCAAAAACTGAAGACCACACCCCAAAAAAATGGAAAAGTAACGAAAAATTCAGATAACCTATAAAAAGCAATAATAACCGCGAAGTATTGTGGCAATCCAGCCCAAAGACCACAATAGATGAAAAAAAGAGAAAAGTCAGCCAGTGAATGAAAAGGAAAGGAGGGAAGTTACTCACCAGTGAAAAACAGCAGTGAAGAAGACAAGAGAAAGATGGAGCACGAAAGAGAGGCTTTAGGAATGAAGGGTCGATTGCATTCGTGTTTGTCATGACATATTCCAATGAACTGGCACCGTTACACTTGCCTAGTGCAACAAGAAGAGCAAAGAACTCGTAGTTTGGAAAAAGAATCACATGTGAATATCAAACGTCATGATTTGGATGTTTTGACAGTTTCGCAGATGAAAATTCTCGGATTTCACTTGTCGGATCAAACTTGAGATAAGTAACTGGGAACTGGAGAACGCGACTACAAGGGAACTCTGCCTACACATTTCAACTGCTAGCATCTGATCGTTAATGAGCATCGGTGCTGTTGTGTTGCCTGCAAAAATTTTCTATGCAATTAGAGATATTGGTTTTTTTTTTTTTTTTTGGTGGGGGAGGGGGGGTGTTGAAATGATATGTGAAGAAAAAAAATATGATAAAATATAGTCTCTGCAGATAGCTTAACGGTACCAAGAATATCTCTTACATTTTGGCAACATCAGAGAGGTCCTCATTGGTGTCCAAATTATCCATTCCATTAGCAATCATTTCAGAGCAGATGCTCTGGGCCTCTTGCAACCTCCCTTCCTTTCTAAGGCCAGTGGATAGCTCATTGCAGATGCAGACATTAGGAAGGAAACCGTTCTCAAGCATTTCTCTATACCAAACATATGCTCCATTAAATTCCTTCAGGTCACAATGTCCCTTTATCAGCAAACTATAGGTATCAGCTTCAGGGATTAATCCTTTAGCCTTCATGTCATCAACAAGAACTTTTGTTTCCGATAACTTCCCCTCTTTTAAGCGGCCCAGAATCAAACTATTATAGGTCTTGTTATCAGGATGAACTCCCATGTCTACCATCTCTTTTTGCAAAGAAAATGCCTTTTGAACATGCCCAGTCTCTTGATAACAGTGAATCATAGCATTGTACACAACTCGATCTGGGGACACATTCATCTGCAACATTTCATTAAACAGTGTCTCTTTGAGCTTTATCCCTTCCTTGCTGCACCCGCTGATTAGGGGATGAAATGTATTTATAGTAGGTTTTAAGCCTAACTTCTTCATAGTTTCATATAGCTCAAGACATTTCTGCGAGTTTCCAGCATTTGAGTACCCTGAGATTAAGGAGTTGTATGTGATCACATCAGGACAGTGACCCGTACTGGTAATTAGGAAAAACATCTCTTCAGCTTCCTTTACCTTTCCCATTTTGCATAACCCTTTAATGAGGGAATTGTATGTTACAATCGTTGCACCAATCTCATTTTTCGACATCTCATCAAAGAATCTCAAAGCCTCTCTCAACTTCCCCACTGTACAACTACCATCAATAAGCATATTATATATATTTGCATTAGGTAAGACCCCTCTGCCTACCATATCCCTAAGGACCATTTCTGCCTCAAGAATTTTCCCATCCTTGCATAAACAATTTATGAGAGAGCCGTAGCTTATAACATTCGGCTTTTTCCCATTTTCCTCCATTTCTTCAAGAATCTGGAAACACCTAGAAAATACACACAGCCTTCCATAGCCATCAATAAGGATATTATATGTCTCCACGCTTGGGGCTATTCCCTTCCCCACCATCTTCTTCACCCATTCCTCCGCCTTGTCTATCATCTGCATTTCACAAAACTTATCAATCACAGAATTAAAAGCAATACAATTTGGTCTCAACCCACGACTTTCCATTTGCTCAATAGTCAAAATGGCTCTATCCATGTCGCCTATTTGACAATAACCATTCACCATAGTGTTATATATCACCTCACCTGGAACGAGCCCGTGTTCCACGAGGGACTTCAACACCTCCTCTGCCTTTTCAACTTTCCCTTCTTTACACAATCCATTCAACAGAATACTACAAGTGTAATTATCAATCTTGACTCCCTTCCCAATTGCCTCCCGATACAAATCCAAAGCAGCTCCTGCCCCGTCATCCGACTTCAATAGTCCATCAAAAATTATGCTGTAAGTAAACCCATCAGGCACAAAACCATTGCATTTTATCTCGTTCAACATACACCTCGCCTCCTCGATTCTCCGTGCCCTACAAAGGCCACTAAGCAACGAGTTAAAAGTAATTATACTCGGCTCCACCTTCTCCTTTTTCATCCTTTCTCTCAAGCCAATCGCCGCATCCACCTCCCCTGCCTTACAATATCCATCAATAAGCGTATTAAAAGTCACCCTATTTGGCACCAAATTCCTCACAGACATTTCACCAAACAGCTTCTCCGCATCCCTTATCCTCTTCTCCTTACACAACCCACCAATCAAAACATTGTAAACAAACACATTAGGAACAACTTTCCTCCTTTTCATGGTCTCAAACAACTCCATAGCAAGCTTCAAATCCCCCAATTTCACTGCGGCTAGGATTGCTCTCCCATAAACAAGTTTATCAGGTCTAAAACCCAAGCCCACCATCTCCTTAAACAAATCAAGAACGTTATCAAATTTCTTGGATTCCACCAAAGATTCAACAATCATCCTCACATAACCAAACGAAGGAAGCCGCCCCTCTTTCCTCATGAAATCGTACAATTCTGAAACTTGACTGTGCATCTTGGACTCAGAACAAACAGAGAGCAACATATCGGAGAGAGTAAGATTTAAAGAAGCATCATCAGAAAAGGAAGAGAAAAAAGAGAGAAGGTGAGAAGGTGAGGAAAATGAAGATGGGTTGGACAGAATGAGAGATTTGGTGAAGTTATAAGCAGTTTCGTTGCGGCCTTGTTGAAGGAGGACACGAAGGTTGTGGATTTGGTCGTTAATGAGGTGGTCTTGTCCATCGGCGGTGGTGGAATTTTGCGGGTTTTCGGCAGAGACAGTGGTGGAGAAGGGGATCACCGAAAGCTTGCTCGAGGCAGTAAGAGGACGGTACTGTAACTTGGAAAGCCGCCTTGCCATCTCTCTCTCAAATGTCTGTCTTCGTTTTTTCTTCAAAGCTAGCCATTTTATACACGCACGCACACACTACACTCCGTAACCGCGCTTCTCTGGTGCACAATTTTTTGAACAAAAAAACATTGTTAAAGCACCGAAAATAAATTAAAAAAATATAAAAAATAATTTTTTAAACAAAAAGAATTTGTTAAAGCACTGAAAATAAATTAAAAAAATTAAAAAATTATTTGTGACAAATGTGTAAAAGAATTAATGAAAATTAAATCAATATAGGACATCTAGTTAAACTTGCAATCTAAATTATATAATAGGAATAACCTTATAAAAAAAAATTATAATTTTTTTTATAATTAAAGCCATTAAACTTAAATTTCTTAATTTAAAAAAAATTATAAAATGTAATTTAAAAAATATATATTAAATAATGGGATTAAAAAATATTAATCATCTAATTTTTAGAAAAAAATACAATTTAAAAAATAAACATGGCATAAACTATTATTATTAACAGGTAATATAATCATTATTTTTGTTATTATTATAATAACTTTCGTTATTTCTATTATTATTGTTATTAATTCTGTCACACCACAATTATTGTTAATATTATCATTGTTAATAATAATATCAATATTTTAATTTATTATTTTTATTATTATTTTAATAATTATCATCATTATTGTTGTTGTTGTTGTTGCTGCTGCTGCTACTATTATTATTGTTGTTGTTATTATCATCGCAACAATTATTTTTTGTATTTTTATTATTAGCATTGTTCTTCTTCATCTCCTTCTCTCACGTGTTATTATTATTGTTATTGTTGTTGTTATCATCTTTATCATTATTATCACAACAGTTATTATTAATATTTTTATTGTTATCACCATTCTTCCTCATCCTTTTCTCTCCTGTTTTATCATCATTATTATTTATATTATTATTGTCATTATCATCCTAATAACTACTAGTGATATTTTTATTTTTATTACTATTTTTCTTCATCTTCTTCTCCCCCGTGTATTACTGTTGTTGTTATTTATAGTAGTAGCAGTAGCAACATCAATATTATTACCACCTCAACATTACAACAACTATTATTATCATTGTCATTGATTTTTTTAATTATTAACACTACTATTATTATTGTCACAACTATAATTAATAATAATATTATCATCATCGTTATTATTATTAGAATTAATAATTTAATTAATGTTGTTGTTATAATCATTGATAATATTATTATTTTCATTGTTGTTTTTATAATCATCATCACCATTATTATTAATATTATTGTTATAACTAACGTTACAATTATGATTATTAACATTCCTTTATTAATAATATTGTTATTTTTATCATTGCAATTATTATTGTTATTGTTACTATCATTATTATTAAAAAAAATAAAAAACATGAACTTGATTTGAATGATAGAATTGAAAATTAAAAACGTTAACAAAAAGACCAAGAAAAACAATAAAAAATCAAAAAAAAATTGACCAAATTAAAACCACTACTATTATTGGAAAAAAAAAACCTTGACTTGAATGATCAAATTGCAAGTTGTAAAAACTTCGATAAAGGAGTAAAGAAAAAAATTAAGAAATTAAAAGTAAAACGACTGAATTGAAATCCCTTTTATATATATATATATATATATATATATATAAAAGATGATGAAACTTCAACAATCAAAACTCAATGGTTTGAAATTGAAATAACAAAATAAAAATAAAAATATAGACCATATTGTATTTATAGGAGTAGAAAAGAGAGATGAAAGAAGAAAAAAAAACAAAAAATCATCAACAATACACCAACTAATTTTGGAGCACTTGCGCCGCTTACAATGGAAGAAGAGGCAACAAACAATAATCTAAGAAGATAAACGATTATTTTTTACAACTAGAAACTGCCATCCAAAATGTATGGTGATCTTAACATGCCTGCAAGTATAGAGCTTTTGAAATAAAAAATTATTATTTTAATAGTAAATTATATAACTATCATCAACCAAACCTACAATCAATAAAAAATTCAAGATTAAAATACCAAAATACCTTTAAAACAATGAATTAAAAGTCTTGCATCCAAAGATATACTTTTAATTTTATTGTGTATAAAACAGAAGGAATACATAAGTACCTGATACCACTTAATTTTTAATTTTTTTTGTTCATAGAGATATTTTAGTTATTTTGTTATTTATAAAAATATTAAATGTACAAAAATACCCAAAACAAATCAATAATAATTAAAAGCATTTTTTTTTTATGGGAATGGCAAAATGGTCATCAAACAGCAGTGATGAATATGAAAATGTGAAGGAGAATAGAATGAATCTTCCATGACTTTTAGAATATTTGTCATTGTGTATATATATATACATATATCAGACTTGAATGTTGACATATATATATCGGATTCGAATGCAGACCTCACACAAGGTTTCAAGCCTTCCATAGACAATCTACAGTTAAATTATAGAATAATTTATTGAATTACTCGGGTTTTATCAGATAAATATCTATATATTTTTAAAAGGACCCATGTCAATTAAATTATAAATTAATTCATTGGAATACTCGGGTAAATATTTACACAGTATTTTTTTTTTTGAAAAATACATGACCTATACTATGATTCGAATGGACAAATTATCGAATCAATCCATTTTAACTATATTTTCATAAAATGTGTTTTTTTCAAAATTTTATATCACTCATAAATAATATTTGATTAAATAACATCTTGATTAATTAATAAATTTTTACAGTATTGAGGATATTAATTTATTTAAGAACCTACAAAACATCAGCCGCGTTTGCTACTGATGCTGTCATTTCTTTTTACTAGTTGCTTGACAACATCTCTCATTGTAGGTCTTCTGCAAGGCTCCTCCCTTTTCAGTTCCATGTCAGAGCCACCAAAGGCACATCTAAGGCTTTAACCCAGTTGACGTCTTTAGTGCTGCTCTAAACAGACCCAACCCACCCTAAATAATGGATCCAGTGCCTCATTTTTAGTCAGCAGCTCAGGCAAAACATCCCATTTATTTTATATCAAACACCAACAAGCTTGTAAGAGCCCACACGTCAGGCGTGCTTGATTTGCTGTGAGATCATCGACCCATCAACTCTTGGTGCTTGCCTCACGGTGAATAGATTGTTTACTATTCACAAATTCAAACGGCCACAATCACCTTGACACAAGCAGTATTGAAAGTGTTTTAAAGATAAAATTCTCATTTTTCTGGATCCACATTAGAAAATGTTCTTCTGTTGGTGCCTATAAAAAGCAAGCAATGAATCAGTCCAGTTACTTCAACCGGGGGACGCGTAACAATTGTCTTTACGTTTTCAGGAATCTATTGCCTGGCACATCGGCTCTTCAAAGACTAAACATTTCTTTCTGCGTTCATAAAAAAATGTTCCCTTTTCCTTTAGCTGAAACCAGAAAGGTTGGCATTTTGATCTGCCTTCCAACGATTTTACACGTCATGAAAATCCCTAGAAATGACTCTATGTCTTACACGCTGACATGAAGTAATTTGATGAACCATCCTCACCCATTCGATCCAAGAAGCAATTGGATCAAGTTTTGAGTAATGGTTTTCCCTAAACTAAAACGGACACACAGGTAAATCAAAGATCACTATCTCAACAATTCGTCATAATCTATATGCCAATTATCTGCCCTATTCATCGCTGAGCCTTTCTTTATAAGCTTGAGCTAACGCACAAATCACACAAGCTGCATGGTCGAAACAGATACAGATACGAAGACCAGGAGTACATTAACACATCAAAAAACCGTGATAGTACCATAAAAAAAGGTCAAGTGAAGGACAATGTGAACGAAGGTTGAGAAATCAAGGCAGCCATTAAAACTCTAAGCAGTAGAACACCAATAAAAAATAACTTGTGTACTTCGGTATATATCTCTTCTCTTCTCAGACCAACATTTTCCCTATACCAATCTATTTAATCGCCCAAAAAAATCCATCACGGATGACTCAAAAAACTCAACACAAGCACTGGCATAATTATGGAATGCACGCAGTCTGAAGTGAGCTGAAAGAGTTTCCTTGTCATTGCATTCTCAAGCTCCACCCTTACATCTCTCAAGTCCCCTTCAGTTGAAATAATCCAAAAGACAATCTCTTCAAAAGCTGTCAATTTCACATCCTGACGATATTTACCCACAACTCTTCCCGAAACAAGTAAAATTACCTCATATTAAAAACAGCTGCAGGCATTTGACATCCTCAGATGACTGGAAGCTTGTCATTTTGTAGTTTGTACAATCCTGCATATAAATCACAAGGGCATGTATTTCCCTACACTCTTCACATTATTATGCTTTGAATAACCTAAATGCTAAATCACTGAATATGTCTTGCTCAAGCTGATGGGTGGAATATTCACTTACAAACACCGTCAGAGGTAGTAGTCAAAATGTTAGTGGTAATGGTTAAGAATACATGATTGATGGTGTGCATTTTCCTGGTTAAACTCGTGTAATGAAAATGTTTAAGAATACATGATCTTGCCTTGTTGAGCTCGTGTAATAAAATGTATCTCTTAATTTCCTTTATATGCTATGTGAAATAATACATGATTCATATAGTGTGAATGGTCTTGTTAAACTGGTGCCATGAAATGTACACTGAATTTCCTCTGGATGTCATGTCAAATAATGTGATATAACTGAACCTAGTGTGGGGAACTTTGTACACAAGATGTCTACAGAGATAGGCGTACCTAATATAGATGCAGATATGAACAGAATATGAAAAGCACACAAATCCAAAAAACAGCTGTCATGCAACACTTGCTACAAACGGTAAACATATCAGAACTATTAAGTTATCCACGCAACAACACATGCTGCTGACAAATGCATGTCCTGGACAAAAATAGTATAACATGAGCAAATGGTGTGTTCATGATAGCAGTACGTGCATTCATTCGCGATGAGAAGGGATGCTAATGCCGATATTGATGATGAAATGGATGCATGCAACAGCTGCAAGATGCATCCTATCATGAATTTCTCGGAGCAAAAGATCAGAGTACATCCCCTTCAAGCTACTGATAGGTAATTGGTGGTGGAGCTCCATTGGCACTAGGAGAAGCAACATGGTGGATCCCATCCTTCCTTTTCCCAAATGGGTTCTTTGAATACATAGGTTGAAGTCAAGAAAAACAGGTACATTACCGAATTATGAAAGTAGCAAAGAAAACTAACAAGCAAAATACATAATCAGATGTAGCCCCATTACTCATCATTAACAACTTCCCTTGATAGAATCCACAACAATATCATAATGACTTCAGTTGTTTCATTTTACAGAACAATTATGTATGGCTTAGCATATAACACGAAGTTAATGCATGTGAGAGTATCAAGAGAACTTTTTGGGCCACCAAATCCATGACATGCTGAACCAAATGTTTAGATCACTTGAAATGTAATGTTTGAGACATAAATACATGTTTTAATTTGAGAATATATAGATAGAATATAAGAAAAAGGCAGAGTGGATAAAATATAAAAGCCAACAAATCTAAAAGGATATTGTATCCGCATTCCAACTGATCCAGAACTCGGAATAACAGCACCCTGCAATGTATGGTGAACATTTGTTGCACTGTTCACATCCTGCAAAGATTCACAACAAACTTTAAGCATTTATAGAAATAACTGAAGCATTCCCATCATAAAATATAAATAATAATAATAATTCAAGGTCAGAGAACATCTGCATTGATGAATAGCAGGTGACTTACTTCAAACTCAATAAAGCAAACAGTATGCCTTTCTTGTCTCAGAACCTTCATTTGCTTAAAACCACTTTGCCTGCATGCACAAAGGTATAAAACGAACAAAATGATTCTTTACAAAATAAATGTAACTCAAAAAACTGGCCAAGAGAGGACACTCTTACACGCTGAATAGACCCCTCAATTCATCCTCATTGATATTCTCTCCAAGATTGCCAATAAATAGAGTATTGCAAGGAGGGTTATCTTTTGTATTCTACATTAATTATCAAGGGAAAAAACAAAAACAAACAACTTAGTAAACATGCAATCATTAATCAAGGAATTTGACTACAATTTTCTTATTCATTCTACCATGGAAACTTGAGATTTTTAATGTGGAATACCCTAAATCCATGAGTTTCTGGTGAATTAGAATTGAAACAGGTATATGCATCACACCTTTAGTAACAAAAGGGATTGCTGTGAAAAATTTGTTTGATCAGATGGAGTAAAGTATTTTAAGGAATAGTGTTCATTTGGAAATTAAGAATGATAGTATTATGAATGAAATGTGATCAACCATTGTGTGTAAATAAGCACACAAGATGAGAAATACCACACGTGGGCATCACCTGAACTGGCACATAGCTGCTAGGAGCTGGGATAGGAGCAGGCGGAGGCATTGGTACTTGAGGAACAGGATAACCTCCATATGGATCATATGGGGGCGGAGCTGGAGTCATGTACCTAAAGCGAGCATGCAATGTTAACAATAGAACATATCCTTTAAAAAGAAACACCATAATGCTAACTGAACCTACATGATTTATGAAACACAACAACACTAGCTTCCATATAAAGTTTGTTCACTCTAACACAATTTACAAACTCAACATTCACTAGAAAGAGAAATTCTTACCCATGTGGCCCCCAAACAGGAGGAGGAGGGTGAAATGGAGATGGACTAGTATAAGTAGTGTGGGAATAATCACCACCAGTTCGCAAACGTTTGCTTTGATCATAAGCATTAGAATCAGCAACTATTCCTGGAGATTAACAAAATATCAGCAATACATAACAATCCTACAGAAATGTTGAGACATTTTCAAATTCAACTCATCAACATGATTGCAAACCAACAACCAGCAATCAAAAAATTTGGATACAAAAAAATAGGACACAGTGATGCTGATTACAGGCATAACTAAAACCTCCAATTAAAGCTTTTCCCAGGTTTCATCACTGTATGCATGTTTTGATATGTGCATGTACTGTCATGACATTACTATTGAAGACATTGCAGATCAAGGAAGTTATCCATGATCCATCCATATGGAAGTCCAAGCCCAGGGTTTCAAATCCACCAATCAAGCATCCTACTGGAAATGACAGTTTTAAGCAGTTAAAAGAAAATTTCACTAAGTTAGTTCCACAATTCCATTCCCCAAGGACATTTAAGAGGTTCCAGATAGGACTCATCCAAATCCCAGCTCCCCATTGCATTGCAAGTGTATCAATGTGCTACAAGCCCACTCTTTTTGATAAAGCAAACCAAGCACACATCACTGTTCTAATCTTAGTTCAGACTTTATGAAAACAAACTACAGTAGCAAATCACAGATACCTTTCTAAGTCCAATCTAAGACCCAGAAGTATCACGATACTAAAGCTTTTCATGAATTGAAGACTTTTTTAAAACTTTTTAAGTTTCAAATTCTGTGACCACGAAACAAACTGAACAAAAAATATCAACTCAAGCTGTATCAGAACCTCACCTCTTTTAACAAAGAGATTCTTCTTAGCCATCTCTGTATGCAACACAGACTTAGTATCCGCATCAAAAACCATGTCCTAAAAATCCAAAAGGAAAAAAAAAACTTAAATAGCAGAAACAAGAAAAAATCAAGAAATTAAATAATATTTTGAGACTATTGACCTGGAGTGCATCTTTTGCAGCAATAGCATGCTGGGCACACGAAAACAGAGCAAAACCCATAGCTTTCTCTCCTTTATAATTAACTTGTGAAGCCTCATAACCAGGCAACCATCTCAGCAAATTCTGCAATTCTCTCTCCTTCACATCGTCAGGGAATCCCGTTATGAATATTGTTCGAACCTAACAAAACGACATCGTAAGCTCTGGTCAGTTTTGTTTTCCCCAATTTTATTTGTTAGGGCACAAAAATTTACCAATTGAGACTCGGAAAAAGAAAGACCAGGATTAAAATCAATTGATTGGTAGTTTGGTCTGTATTACCTCATCGTGAGTGGGAGGGCCGCGATTGGAGTTATCGACGAGGACGGGAGGTGGAGCGTGATGGACGGGAGGAGGAGGAGCGCCTGGGGCGGAGGGTGGTGGTGGTGGAGGAGCTTGTGCTGGCGGCCATTGCTGGTGGTAGGGGTGGATTCCTGTTCCCGCCATGTTAGTTGGTAGTGGGGTTGCTCGATAAAAGCCCTAGAGCCACCAGTGACGGAGAGCCGGGGGTTGGGGGGGGGGGGGGGGGAGGTAAATGAAGGTGCGGGCTCTGTCAGTAAAGCGCGTCTATATGTAAAGTTATATTTCGTTAAATGCCCTGGATGTTTATTTATTTGTAGATTGTGCCCTTCCTATTTAGGCCCTTTTTAAAATTTCCTTTTATGACAGCTTTCTTTTAGCATTTTTTTTTTTTTCTTAAGAAGTTAAAACCCCCCGCCACGTTTTTGCCACGCTCATAGACCAAATTTGGCCACTGAGTGTCAATTGTAGAAATATTGGTATTGAAATTTTATAAAAATAAACCTAGCGAGTTAGTTTGGTTTAGTGAATAAAAAATTGGTTGTTTTTGTATTTTAGAAATATTTTTTTAAGAAATTATTTTATTTTATTTGAAATTAATTTTTTAGTAATAATTTAATATTAAACAAAAACATTGCTAAAAATTAATTCAAAAAAATCATTCTCACCACCTTAATGTGTATGCGCACTCCATTAACTTCATCACTCTTCATAAATAATGCCATGATATGAATCAAATTGTATCTTGATTCTTCAGGGAGGATACCCTTGAAGGGGACAACATAACCCTGATGATGAATTCGCATGTCAGCTCTCTCAGACGCAGACGCAGACGCAGACGGGTATACACGCAAAAAGAGCACACTACAGTTTTTTCCTCCTCCTAAAATGTATCTTATCTATATACAGAGTGGTGCTTGATTATGCTTATGCAGCCTGTTGGGAGTTGTGTCTTGAATCTTCAACATCAACATCAACATCCCTTGTGAGTTGTGACAGTGTATGCTTCTATTGTGACTAAAGCACATTGGATGTATAGCTGTTTCATTCATGATTAAAGACTCACATATCCTATTAAGTTTGTTTATTGACGTTGCTTTATCATCCACGCAACCTGTGGTTGGATGCGTAGATGATTGTTTTCCGGTCGGTTACAGGCATTTATTACGGGATCAAGATTAGTAATTTAGTAGCTCGTAGTCACCGCAACAACTAGGCATCAGGCAATGCATTGCTAAGAGAATTATAAGAACTTTTATTTCCTAGCTTGTTGGTGAGGCTTGATTTTCATCTTTACTGCTGCATGAGGGGCAAACAGAGGAAATATTAACCTAGTTTTCCTGCGCTGAAAACTACGGGAAAAGGAAAGGAAAGAAGCAGTTCACCAAGCAGAATTTACTAGAATTAGCACGGTTTGTATAATACAAACAAAATAAATATGCAATTCCTAGTACCATCAACACAAAAAGTCAAAACAAGTGCAAAAATACTTCTCCCCTTGAGGGGAAAAAATAACAACACTGCTAAGATGCTTGCATGCCGCTATAGATGGTCGAACATGGAGAGGCACGGTGATTGCCCTTTTATGGCAACCAGTTTTTATTTTGTTCTGAATTCACGACTGCTTTAGGAAACCAATACCACTTTGGATTACTGACATTGCCCTTTTATTAGATTTCTCTATAGCTTGAGGAAAACAAACTCTTCGATGGCGGGTACTTCACCTATTTCTTTCAGAGATTCCAGGCTGGGTTCTTCATCCACACCAATTGCCATAATGGCATTTCTCCTCCTAACTGTTCTCCCCACGCTCATGAAGCTCACGTTTACATTTTGCTCACCAAGTATGTTTCCAACCTGGCCAATCATGCCAGGCTGATCAACCTGCCTACACAGGATGATATTTCCTTCCAGGCTCACATCAACGCTGAATGATCCTACCTGTGTCAAATGAGGTATACCGTTTTTCACTTTACCCTCAATGCTTATGTCTCCTCCTCCTGAAACAGCACTTCCAAATTTAGAATCCACATTGGATAGTTGTACCTGGATTGAGAAAATTGGGAGCTCAGGGGATGCGTCAACAACCACACGTTCCTCGCTAATGCGGAGGCCTTTTTTCTTGGCTGTGAAGTCTGCATTGACAAGGTTGATAAATGAGTCTGATATTGGTTCAATGATGCCTTTCGTTATCATGGCTCGGAGAAGTCTCGTGTCCAAGTCATCTGGGTCTCGAGCTGATTTATAAACCACCTTCGCTGACTTGATTCCACTACCTCCAGCCACTAGTTGCACCGCTAGCCTACCGAGCCTCTCAGCTAGCACAACATAAGGAGCTAACTCTGACAAAACCTCGGCAGGAACCATAGGAGCATTCACAGCAGTCGCAGCAAGTTCCCCTTTCAAGGCTCCGACGACAGCTTCTGCTATTTCGATAGCTACACCTTCCTGATAAATATGACATTCGATCATAAGATTCAATGTCTGCTACAGACTGCAAGATATATAAGAATCATCAGTGGGTACTGCTATATTGCTAGTACACTATCATACCTGTGCTTCCTTCGTGCTGGCTCCGAGGTGAGGTGTGACAGTGACTCTCTCATGTTGCACTAATTTGGTATCTTCTGGTGAAGGTTCCTCGGTGAAAACATCCAGTGCTGCCTGTTGGAGTTCATGATGTGCATAAGCACATCAAACAATGTCCAGAATTTAAAGCAAATTGACAAATTTACAAGGAAGGATCATTGGCCACCATTGGACATACCTGAGCAACTTTTCCACTATCAAGAGCCCTGACTAAAGCATCTTCATCAATAACCCCACCTCTTGCAACATTAATGATCCGGACCCCCTTCTTCACCTTCGCAAAAGAGTCATCATTGAATACCTTTTTGGTTGCAGGAGTGAGTGGCATATGAAGAGAGATGAAATCAGCAGTGGAGATGGCCTGATCAAAGGACACAACCTCTACCCCAATGGCACGGGCCCTGTCAGCTGGGGCATATGGGTCATGGGTAATAACTTCCATTCCCAAACCTTTTGCACGTCTTGCCACTTCAGACCCAACTTTTCCAAACCCCATCACCGCCAATGTCTTCCCAACCAGAGAAACACCAACAAACTTATTTCTCTGCCATTGCCCTGTACAATTGCATAAATTTCTTTAGCCAACCTTCTTATGTTAATCATAATTCTCATCCTAATTGTCATCATATGTTAACGCCAAAACATTATCATTTTAAGATTTTCTTGTAGCATCTTTAATTTCCATAATAAGTATTTTCATTTAACATAGTCGTAACCAGTAACCACTAGATGAATTCCTTGGTTAATTTTTGTTTTTTTATACCCTACTATATATATATATAATTATATGTATAAAAGTTGTTAGATGAGCTTTTAACGTATAATTTCTATTATAATTTATCTCATTTTAGTTGTCTAATTAAAATTAATTTTTTTAATTGAATCTTAGGCTATAACTCATGTATCCACATGCTTTCTATTGTTAAAAAGCTGCTAAAAGAAAAGGTTTTTATTGAAAAGGAAATTATAAATTAGTGATATCCTAGATTTTTATTGTAAATACTACTTAGATAACATGTGTTATACCGTAAACTAACTTTTTATTTTTATACAAAATATAAAATAAATTAAAGAATGTTGGGTTTGACTGCAACATCGGATCTAAACATAATATTTATATTAATAATAATAATAATATTTAACTTATATGTCTAAATTCTTATATTTTTTTTTATCCTACCAAAATTTCTACATAATTTCTCTTCTCTTCTATTTGGACAATATCAAGTTATCAACTATATACCACCTATCCCAATATCCCAACATGGTATATTTCCATTGTCTTTGCCATTATGTCTTTAAAATAATGTAATTTTGATTTTTTTAAAATATATTATGTTTTGATCATGTTATTAAATTAACTCATATTTTATTAATTTTGAAACTCCATTCATGAACCACAAGATTAATAATTCATTATAATTTTATATGAAAAACCTAACTTAAATCTTCAATTTACCTTAATCATTAAATTATTGAAATAATAATAATAATAATGATAATAATAATAATAATAACAACAACAACGACGATGATGTAGAAAAGAAAGATGAAAATCTGCCCCACTATGTTATACAAAATCCTTGGAGTAAATATTGACAAAACATTTATCATTCACAAAATTAAAATCACATTTCTTTATATGACAAAATACTGTTCGAAGATTTTAAATTTAAGCGTGCTCATTAATTTTTTCAACTCTAGATCTGAAATAAAATGATTAGATGATGTAACTGATTTGATCAGTTATTTGTATATCTGTCATAACTAATTCTTATTTCTTATGAACTATGAGGTATAGCTACGTTAAAGAATATATAGAAATGCATTATACAAGGTGATGAGATTATCTTTTCTAAAGATTTTATTGTTTTGGTTCTTTAAGAGAGTTAGGAAGTATTTGAAAGTGGTAAAAAATTTAATTTTTTAATTAAAAATTAATTTTTTAAGTATATTTTGCATTGTTATAATATGTTAATTTTAAAAATAATTTTTAAAAAATATAAAAAATATTATTTTAATATAAAAAATACTTTAAAAAATAATCACAATCATTAAATTAAAAAGATCTACAAACTAAATTTGAAAAATGTTAATCGGGCTAATTTTGTTATTTCTCCTTTTCACTTTGGAATTTTCTAGTTTATTTAGAATATATATATATATATATAGTTTGTTTAGATTTATGTAAGGAACTGTAAATATTTACTAAGCAACACTCGCTTAGCTAGTATTTTTTTTTACTTGACTAGTAAAATTGCTTGGCAGCAGCATTAATCTCACTGATCATCACCTTTTTGAAATAATGAAATTAATATGCCAGAATAAAAAAGGTTTAATTCTCTAAAAACAAATTAATTACTGTTCTATGATATTTAAGGCTATAATTCTAAAATAATATAGTGGATATAATTAATTTTCCGCAACAAAAATTGGGAAAAGGAATGATATGCACCGTACCAGCTTTCATGGAGGCGTCAGCCTGCGCAACATTTCTAGCCATGGAAGCAAGCAAGGCGATCCCATGTTCAGCAGCGGCAACAGTGTTAGCAGTTGGTGCATTGACCACCAAGCAACCAAATTCCGTGGCAGCTTGTAGATCTACGTTGTCAATGCCAACACCAGCCCTCCCTACAACCTTCAACTTCCCTTTTGCAGCCTCAAAAACCTGTCGAGTGACCTTAGTACCACTTCTAACAATCAGTGCATCACATGATGCGATTTTCTTGCACAGATCTTCTTGTGAAAGATCATAAGAACAGTCTACATCACCAAAGTCACGTAAGAGTTCAAGACCAGCTTCTCCAAGTTTCTCGGAGACCAGGATTGTTGGTTTTGTTTCTTGAGAGTTGATCGTGTCTTTCCCTCCAACCCTGGAAACTGGTGATGTTTCGGCTGATTCTACTGTTTTTGTTGCATTCTTGATGGACAAAGAACGAAAAGAAGGATGGGAATGAGAGGAGGAATGGGAATGAGCGAGCTTTAGGGAGATTGGTGTGGAGGCGGTGTTGCGGAAGAAGGAAAGAAGAGAAGATCTTGTTGGTGGTTGTGAAGAGGAGGAGGAGGAGGTTGTGGTGGATGGAGGAGTGAAAATTGGTTTGGTGGTGGAAGAAGCCATAATGGTGGTTGGGATTTTTGTGTTTGAGAGGGGTTGTGCGCTCTTGCTGAGAAGTTTTTCACTTCTTTTAATAGAGATTTTGAATCCCAGTTAGTGGTTAGTTTTGTTGTAATCAGTGTAAATAACCAAAAAAAAGCTACAACAAAGAATTAAACAATTCTTGAACAGTAGTAAGTAATCTAATTTCTTGGACACGATTTAATTTTTTTTATTGAGTTAGATGGCTTAAATTGGAAGGTCTAGCTGCTTGTTCATGGGACCCTTTTGTTTCTCTGTGAAAATCCATTCACCTCTTCCATTAATATTACATTTTAATTTATTTAAAGGGAAAAAGGTTCAAAATGGATTGATTTCAAGTGTCATTGTGCCCTTGATGTTGAGGAGAGGAGGAGGTATGAATATATCATTAATAAGATATAGGAAGCCGACATTAACTCTTAAATTCTCAACTTAATTAAGTAAGGTAAATAGATGATTATGATTTTCTTTTCCTTAAAATCTTTTCTCCCAAAGTTATGGGACAAAATCTATCTTAACACCTAAATAAACTTCCCGGGATAAATTGATTTTGTAAGAGTATTTTTAATTAAAAAATATATTAAAATATATTTTTTATTTTAATATGATATTTTTTAAAATAAAAAAATTTAAAAATCAAATTAAACCACAAAAACAAATATACTATTAATCCTCGACGATGAAAAAAGTAGATATGAACCAGTAATAAGATAAGCATCGACTTAATTTCTCATTAATATATCCTTAAAAAAATAGTTTTCTAAAGAGTTCATCACAACTGCAATGTTTCCTTAATAAACTTTGAAAGAAAGTCACACATAGCAGAGTCAAGAAGAGAAATAGAGAATTTCTCCCAAGATAGCAAATAAGGGAATAAAATTAATTAAGATTATGTTTGTTTTCTGAAAAATAATTTTTGTAAAATAATTTTTTAAATTTTTTCGTGTTTATTTGTTATTAAAAAAATTGATTAACAAAAAATATTTTTCAATCAACAAAAAATATTTTCTAGTCAACAGAAAATACTTTTCAGTAAAAGAAAAGGTTGGTTTGGTTTTCAGGAATTTTTTTTTTTTTTGCTGTGTTTGTTTTCCAAAAAGTGATTTGCAAGAAATCATTTTTCAAACTTTCTTGTATTTGTTTGTTGTTAGGAAAGTTGATCAACAAAAAATATTTTTCAGTTAAAGGAAAATTTAGCTTGATTTTTAGGAAAGTATATTCCTGAAAAATTTAGGCGGAAAATATTTTTCTGAAGTTGTGAAAAATTTAAAAATGTCATTATTTGCTGATTATATCAAATTTGATTCTCAAACTTTTGATTGTTATATATATTTTATTTTAAATATTTATTTTTTTTAATTTTATTTTTTAAAATTTAATTTTTATATTAACTTTGGTTCTCATTTTTATAATTATTATTTGCTTTTCTTCTATTATTTTTTTATAGAAATTTTTTATCTATCAAATTTGGTAAAAAAAAACAACTTTTCTATAAATAAATGGACATAAAACACCTGTATGAACCTCAAAGTGTGCCCTGATTTTAACCTTGTTATGAATGAATGAATGAATGATATTGAAACAGAGAATCACACCATTATCCATCCACCTTCGAGGTAGATCCATCCATCCATCCCCTATTTATTAATTTATCACAATAATTAATTGCTTCACCAAGTGAAACGTATTCGATTTCCATTCCAAGATAATGACAAGTGAAGGGATTTAATTTCGAGGCATAAGAAAATGATTGGTCCAGCGAGTGATATTCATTGCGGTCCCACCTACATGAGGGATTTAATTATATATATATATATATTCCCTCTATCCCAAACAAATAATTTTATTTGATTTCTCATGTTATTAAAAATATCATTAATTGATATATACCATATCGCTATCTTAAATTATAAGTTCGGGTCAGCAAGTCGCGGCTTGTTAGATCCCGGGTCATCTTAATTCATAATCACTCAAGCCATAGCTTTAGGCATGTGGTCTAGATGCTCCTCCTCACCTACTCCTGTTCCACCACTTGTCCTTTGTACCTCTCATGGGGTCCTCCCTCATGATTTCATCCATGGCTTCTTCTTTTCAGGAGAAGAAAAAAAAAAGCATCGGAATTAGTCTCGATTATTTTATAACTTCAAAGTCTTGAACCTATTTTAATAATGAAAAAGAGAAAATGTTACTCTAGAATTTGAAGTGATAATTATGAAGGTGGCTGTGCCTTTGCTTATAGTTTGATGTCCTGAACCAAAATTCTTCATGACAAGGATATTAAACCCTAGCTTTAAATCATAGAGGCATTGACCTAATTCTTTTCTATTAACCTTGTTCGTAAACTAGTTACATTCTACTTTATTTTGGGTTTGAGGTTTTTTTATGAAGTAGGTGAATTTCTTTCGTGAAATACATCATGACTTGCCTAAGCTCCTATTGAAAAAGATTAACTCTTATTAAATCAATGTTGGAAACTCAAAAAAAGGTTTCTTGGACTCCATTCGATTTTCAATTTGAGCTTAAAAACATGTTTTTTATTTAGTATTTCATAATAGATGGTAATCACGATCAAACACCTTTGCCACAACACATCCCCCATGGTAATGCCATATGGTGCTAACAGTCTGGTGACAAAAGTCAGCCATCTGAATAAAATGAGAATGGTCTCCAGGCAATGCAGGCTCCACAAACTGGAAATTTCGAGCTCCATATTCCCAGAACATGAAGTCTTACACAGATCTACTCCTCAACACATCCCAAATCTTGCGTGTGCCATTCAAACAGCCCAACAATTTCTTCCATAAGGGTGGCCACTGTGAGATATAAAGGTGATGAAGGTGTCCTTATAAAAACACCTCGGGCAGGGGATGCAAAGGGGATAACTGTTGAAGCTGCTTCAAGATAAGCTCCCACCTCAGAAATACCAACCACCTGAATCAGTGAATGCTCCAGTGGCGTTGGAGTCACAATTGAGATCCCATTGCGAGGATTATCATAGAGGTATTGGCCCACATATGGAAGATGGTAAGCCAATAGAATCCCCATAGATGAAAGGTAAGACCTTGGGCCACTGCCACTTAAAAGAAGTAACTGTGGACTCCCAATGGCACCAGCAGATAGCATCACTCCACCTTTTTCACGCACCATCGCATCGTGATATCATCCTCTTTATCACGACAAACCACTCCAATAGCTGACACCCGAGACCTTGGATATTGAGAAGTGGATGCCAGCATGATTCTTCCCACACTTGCATAAACAGCAACTTGAATATTGGCTGCATTTGCATAGTTAAAAAGATCAGCAGCGCTGTGTCTCCTCCCTGAACTATCAAAGGTTGAGCCGCCAGTATTTGTGCCAACCAGGTGCTCTAGATTGGAACCGGTTTATGGTTCAATCCCAGTCTCCAAAAGTCCATCTATAACGGCGGATTGCCAGTTCCTAAGGTCTGGCCTAAACACAATTGCCTTCTCAACCCATTCATAGGACTGATTCACAGCATTGAGGTCCCAATCCACACCTGATTCCCGAAAGAAAGCTTGGCCAGCTCGGCTACAAAATCCAGCATTTATGGCACTGCTGCCACGAAGAATCTTGTATTAGGGACACCATCCGCTTATGTGAAGGCTTGGGCATGTGAATCGAAGGTATCCACATCATTTAGTGTTGACAAGAAGCCATCTTGTCTCATCAAATTGGATTTTCCTAAAGGAACGCCACCACGTTCAATTAAAAGAACTCTACACAACTGTGACACTGTTGCTGCCAATGGGCAACCAGTGGTGCCTTCTCCAACAACAATTTAATCATAGTGGTCCTCTGATGGAGATTCAGTGGCATTTAACACGAACTTGAAATAATTTGGGTCTGTGAAGACATTCAACAAGCACCAAAAGGCAGTATTAGACCTCCATTTCAAGGTTTTACCGAGATAAATCAAGTCAATGACAGAAATAGAAAATTCTGATCATTAATTATGCATAATGTGGTAGATTAAACACATGCAATCAATGTATCATTGCAATTAATGCTAAAAATTTCAAGCAATTTTCTAGCATCGTATCAGCAGCCAACCATTTGTCCTTGAATTGAGGATTGAAATACAGAAACATTGAAACAAACCATGAACACAACAAAATCCACAATTTCTTTTCCAAGAAACATAGCAGAAGAGAAGCTTTATACTAAAAAAGATTCACTGCTTACATTACAGCTTAACAAAGAAAGCAAGGCCTCTGTTCGGTTTCCGAGATAAATAAGCGAAAGGAATCAAACTTTCTAAAATTCCAACCATTTGTTATCTTGTTTTCTTGCATTTTATCAGAAACCAAACAAGAAAATAATCAAGATTTCTATTAGTTTCAGCCATTGATAAAGAAACAAAGGACATTTATAGCAAGCAACGTAGGAACTGACCTGTTTGAGGGATTGGTCTTGCATGTGATACGGGTGAACAAAAAAGGCACCAAGAACACAATGTCTACCAAGAAAAAGCAAAAGGGTTTCTCTATTTTTGTGTTTTCGTGGTGTTTCTTGGATTATAAAGGGTTTTTTTGCCCTTTCTTGAACGAGAGAGAAAGAGAGGGAAAGTGAGAGAACAAGGGAGAAAGGCAGGGTGATTCAGTTAAGAGGAGAAGGTTCTGTGTTATGATTGTGTACGATGAGGTGTATTTTAAACAATCTTGTATGATGTTGATCATGTATGTTTCAATTTGATTAAGAAAAATGACTGGATATAACTATCATTAGTGATTGGAATTTTTGGTAAGTTAATTTTAGCTTGGGCTTCTTTCAGGAACTATTTACTCCTTACGCTTAATCACAAGTATAATTATAAAATTTAGAATAGTTCAAGGCACCGTAAGTTAAACGATTTAATTTGAATTGATATAAATCAATTTAAAATATTATTATTTTAATATTTTAAATTAAATAAATAAATTAAAATAATGATCTTTAGATATTTTTTAAGTTAAATTTAATAGTTTTAATAGATTGGTCAAGTTTAAACTAACCCGTCGAGTAAGTTAATTAATTAATAATATTAATTTTTTTTCAAGAAATTAGATAGGAATATGACTTCAAATTCACTAATATGAATATTTTTTTATTGTAACAATAAAAAAATGTATTTTAATCATCTCATACACTTTGTCTAAAATATTCATTCAAAATTGATATAGTAACAAAACACTAATAATTTCCTTACAATATATTTTTAATGTTGGAGTTTCAATAATGATAACATAAGAGAGAGCAAGTTATGAATTAGTTTTTCTAGTTTTGCACAGAATGAATTAAATGTGAGATTAGCATCATTTCAGTTGATTGCCATTCATACCACCAAGTTTTATTTAACTATTATCAAATCAATTGATCAAGAACAATGCTAGAAATTAAAAACAATAAAAAAAACTTTAAAAAATACATAGACCAAAATCAATGTTTTTCTTTTATTTTCTCAAGATTATAAAAGTGAAGCGTGGGTGTATTTCTCCAAAACTAATAATAATTAAAACTTCAAAATGCTTAATACTGGGTATTTAAATTGCTAATGTCCTCTCCACTCATATCAAAATTTTCCATTTTATTGCTTTACTAACTTATCCCTCCAAGTAGAGCTTTTTAACCAGGCTAAGACCAGGACTGTTTTAGGTATTTCACACATAATCAAGATGTCTCCTCCTCAGTTTCACAGCTTTCCCTCTCCAATGACTGGCTGATAATTGACAAAAAGTTGCTAACTTGCAGCCCAGGACTGATAATTGGTGTTTTATTTTATTTTATTTTATTTTTAATTTTAAATTAATATTTTTTTAATATTAAAGATTATTTGATTTGGAATACTGTTGATAAAATAATTTTTTAAATATAAAAAATATTATTTTAATACATTTTAAAATAAATCAATATAACCATTACAAGAGCCTTGCTCTCATTGGCTCTCCCTCGTCACTACTAGCACCAAAAACACTTACCTTTCTATTGAACCAGACTTCAAAGCTCAATCACACACAGAGACATGGATCTTAATGACCGCAACAAAGTATGGGAAATCAAACCCCTGAAAAAGGTTGGAGAAGAAAATGCAAATAAAGTTCTCGAAAAGGTAGCAAAACAAGTACAACCCATCATGACAAAACGCCAATGGAAAGACAAAGTCCTGTCTGAATTCTGGTCAGTTAGTGAAAACTCAATCCTTTTTGTCTTCTGGTCTCAATTATCTGGGTTTTTGTTTTTTTTTGGTGTTTAAAATGCAGTCCTCTAAACCCAGCTCTTATGGGGTTGAATATAGGAGGAGGTGCAGAGGTCAATTTGAGATTGAGGAGGAGAAATAACGAGTGGCCCTCATGATTCTGATTTTTACAACCTTCTTGATGAAATTAGAAAGGAAATTAATTTTCTTGTCTTGGTATTGAATTCTCACTCAACATTATGTTGACATGTTTCGCTAATTGCTGATTGTTGTTTAGTAGTTCAATGATTGCAAAGTCCTTAGTAATTCCATATTTTTGTTCCACGTCAAATTGTAGTTTCAATTGAATAATTGGTCTGGTTAAAATGCTATTGAAGTTTTTCAATTTTGAGTTAGAGGCTTCGAGTGTGCTACTACTATAAACTTACGCATTACCGACTGACAGCAGTCCATCCCGAGTAATTCTACTTGTTGGTAATGAGATGGTTATCTAGATTGAATCATTTTTGGGGTGCCCTTGTGCAAAATATTCGTGACAGTATCTAAAACATGAAGAAAAACACTCAGCTGTAGTTGGATATCCAATCTGTTGATAGTGCTTTGAAAATAGAACAATGAACATATCTGTGTTAGTAATCAGCCTTCCAAGATGTTTAACTCGTATCTCCTGTCCAAGAAGAAAGTTGAAATGTGCAAAATATCTAAAAACTTGCCTTTTTAAACGTGGTTGTAATCCATATGCAAGACAATGATTTCCTCATGTATAAAGAACTTCTAGGACTGAAGTTGCAAAAAGGGGAGTGAGTTTGTTATAAACACTGGCCTGTTATCTTAGAAACACCCATTACTAACACGAGGGAAAGAAATGGTGATTTGAGAAACCAAAACAAAGGTCTGGCTTTTTGCACCGTGAACTGTAGAATTGATTTGTTTTCCTAATTGTTGATTATTCTTCCTTATTAGTGTGATGATTACACGGTACTTGGCAATTCCAACTGTTGTTGTGTATCAAGCTCGGGTGCATGTGCCGATTCTAATTGTTTTCTTGATTATTACTTGAGCATTGCAACGATGCAAAGTTCATTAAGGATCTCATGATTGTCGTGTGAATCTTGATATGGCTTTACATTGTGTGTGACCTCCCAATCCATTAGCTTAAGTTTTTGGATTGGATGGTCAAGCATGGTATCATAAATGGCAGGTATTATGTTATTGTTGTGTGATCATATACTTAAATAACAACTAACCGGTTGAATTAACGCCACATGTGCCAAATTAGAAACACAGTGACACAAAGCCTGAGAAATCACGAATTTAAGCTTCAGCCTTGCTCTGATCTTCTGATGTGCTCTATTTTATAGCTAGAAATTAGAATTGCATACTGATGAATATGCGCTGATAATGATAAATTACAGTAGAACTTTAGGAACTTGTTATACTGGCAACGGTTTCGATTCTGTAATTGGTCATATCAAAGCACAAGTGAAGTGTTTTTTTTTTCCCCCCCTTGAGTTAGATCATGACAAGAAACTCATGCGTCACTAATAAAGGGTTGTTCATCACGTGGAATGTAATTATAGGTATGGAACAATAATTTAGATTGGGATTTGTACAAGTGCCCCGTATTTGTAATGGTTAAAGTATCTAAATTATTGGAAAAGAAAAATCTCTTCTACCTGATCATTGATGTCCATTCCATTGACAAGGTTATTCAAACAGGGAAAAAAGAAAAGAAAAGGGAAACAATGAACGCATCCTTGAAAAGTAACTGTCTTTGGACTTGCGCCTCCTATGAAGAAGGAAAGCTGAAATGTACCAAAATCTTTAGTTCTTGTATTTTATTTTATTTTTCTCTCCAATATAGCTGGAATCTATATCTAAGATATTGGTGCTCTTATGGATAAGGAACTTCGAGAAATAACATTGTAGGAAAAAAAAAAAAAGGAGTGCATAGTTCGTACTTAGATGTAAAGGCACATCCATTATCAATTTGGGGATAAGAAAAGTGATTTTGAGAAGAAAGGTGAAAAGGAATTTCACCTTGTTCTTTGAAGGTTAAACTTGTCAAACCTCCCATTCTGATGATGATGAAAAACAAAGATAAATCAAATTTTGATGTTCCTATATTTTGGATTTTCTGGATGTTACGGATGCTTTGGATCTTTTGCTAGCCTTTTTCTTCCTGTTACTTATTTTTATTTCAATTGATTTAATCAAGCCACTTTTAAAGTTTGGTGCCATGATGATGATGAAAAACAAAGATAAATCAAATTTTGATGTTCCTATATTTTGGATTTTCTGGATGTTACGGATGCTTTGGATCTTTTGCTAGCCTTTTTCTTCCTGTTACTTATTTTTATTTCAATTGATTTAATCAAGCCACTTTTAAAGTTTGGTGCCATGACATATTGCAGTTTTGTGAATGACTAAAGAGATTCCATTTCTGCTACCCTCGCATGGAGTTTGTTCATATGCTCATTTACTTGCATTCCAAATCATGTTACCAATTATTACAAGTCTCTGCCATATGATGATTCACCAAGCACGTGCATTTCTTCTTGCATTTTGTTAAAGTGGAATCCTTAATCAAACAGCCGGCTGCTTTGTTCATCCTTGCTGCTGCTAAATGTATATTAGAATAAACATTTTTGTTGTGGTGTGATACAATCTGTGTGTTTCTGTAGGAATGTGAGGAACTGATGGCTAAAGGAATAACTGGAACCGGGCAAGGATTTGGTCTTCCTGGGAGACGGTTGGGTCTCCGGTCAACCCCCACTGTCTGTCATCATTACGCCCATCTGCTCTGGCTGCCGCAGAGAACAGAGCACGACGTGATACTCTCTTGCCATCAGGTCCTAAACGTGAAGGTGGTGACAACAATATTAAGGCTGCGCTCAGCCCAATACAAGTTGCTGCCATGGCTGCTGAAACTGCTGAAAAGAGATTACACGATGACTTGTGGTGTGGTTCCAAGTCTTCAGATAGTGCCACTTCTATCGAAGGAAATGTTGGACGTCCGGTAGGCTCAAGTACTTCCGTGAGTTCCGAAGGCATATCTGCCCAAACTTCACCCATGACATCCATGAGTGGTCAGGAATCAATAGGTGACCATCTAACATGGCAGTGTAATAACCGTACTCTATTGAATCAGGTTAAGTTTTTCATAAGTAATCATTGACTTTTCTTTTCAGTTGAAGGTCGAACTGATGCATTTTTTCAATGCATTTCTTCATGAACCTGTCCTTTAATTGTCACCATCTCTATTGCATTGTGCCAAGCAGTGTTTTAAGAAACTTGAAACTTCAATAGATGACCTCTGTGTGCGCGCGTGTTTGTGGACAGCATGTGCGTGTGAAACTGTGAATTGCGTTCTGAACTCTGAAGAGTTGATATTATTGCAGCCAATGGCGCTGATATGTGAAGCCTGTGGGACCCAAATACATAAAGATGTTGCCAAGTTCAAGGTTTGGTTTTGTTATTTCTTATTTAAGTTATGGTGCCGGGCTTGTTTGGGAACACGCGTTACACCACAAAAGCAGGCACTAAAACAAGTGGAATCTTAACTCGAGCTTTTTTTGTGTTTAGTAATGCATTTCACCGGTGTTTATTAAAAAGTATCAAATTGATACAAAACATATTCTTACAAAAATACATTTGCATCGCATTAACAAAACCAACATTATAGTTAGTGTTGAGGTGGCTGTGTGACCGTTGTCTAAGGGTTATGATCAAAGGCAGCCTGGGTAGATTTTTAAAAGGCAAGAAAAACTTCTTTATTCTAAGGGATCATGTTGGTTGGTGCTCAATTTTGGGCAACAGAAATGGCTTTCAATTTTAGTGTTTTGCTATGAATACACATGCTATATGTAGGCTGCTGCTATCAGAAGAGCTATGAACTGGGATCTTTTGCAACTATTCACAGCCTGTTCCTGGTTGGCTGATCAATATCTTTTGGCGACCATTGCCAGTGCCAACCATGCATGGGCATGGGATGGACCAAGATTCAGTGGAACTTGTTGAAGGATTCCCCTTTTTACAGGGTCGCAATGTAATCATGGTTACTTCTGTCATTTCTTACACGGACCCCGGATTTAAAGGTGATTGATAGGGTTTGTGTCTTCGGCTTGTGGGGCTAACATGTCTCAAAGAAAAAAGTTGGGCGATATGGATATAGTAGTTATGGCTCCAAAAAGATAACCGTCATTCTCAACAGTTTCAGCAATCCTAGACGATGAATGCATGGATCATACAGGTGAAGTGTCGTGTAAAGGGTAGTTTGTGTTAATTAACCTTTGATTGAAAGTATGTTGCTGATAATTAAGAACTAAACAGCAATTATCATAGTGATCAGACCAACATAGAGTTCGGCCCATTTTGTCCGGATTATCGGGTTGTTATGCCGATGACTGGCTTCCTGGATAAATTTCAGTTACCATTTCTTTCTGCATAATATCATTTTATTTTATTTTAGTTTGTTTAATTTTTTAGAGATGACATTATTGAGTATCACTCAGTGATTTGACCGGGTTAGCCATATTGTCTATTAACATTACAAGGCATTCAAGTTTATATATTTATTTTTATCTACACTGAATCATCCGATCATTAGATTAAACATGCTAAACTAAATCAAATCTAATAATTAAATCAAATCCAATTTAATAACTATATTTGAATCAGTATAGCTGCTAAGGAAATAATATGGCTATCAAGATTCAAATTTTAAACTGGATTATAGAAAGTAACCTTTTAATTAATATTTTAACTGAATCAAAAGGAGAGACTTGGTACTGCGTGCTTAGGAACCATCCCCTGCAGAACCCAAAAATGTCATCACGTGTAACACTAACAAGAAGTCATATAAACGTGAGTTTTACATAACAGGAGAGAGAATAGAAACCATGCATTAATTTTGACAAATTTTAGAGAACGTGTAGTCATCTGTGTTGACCTGCTTGTCTAACTTGACATGGTCAGAATCATGGATCTTTGCCTCCCTGAGTAACCTAAACACGATTAAATAAAAAAAAAAAACACCAACGATCTTGTTTGGTCCTTCTTTCTATTTTTTCCGCGTGCTGTTGTTTTTATAGTTATTAACGTTACCCGGGTTTTATGTTGGGAATTTAACTCGAATTAATCTATTTTTTAGATATTAAACTAACATTGTTTTTATAAAAAAATCAAATTATTTTTTCAATACTTAACTATAACTATTATGCCATATATTTTTTTAAAAAATAGAACACCGATTTCAATTTTCAACCTATTTTTTAGAGTTGAATTTTCTGGTGGTATTGGTAGGTTTGAATATGAGAGTCATTTTTCGATGTCAATTCAATTCCTTCCCTTTATATATATATATATATATATATATATAGACAGATAATTTCTGTGAAATCTCCTCAGAATGAAATTATATGTGCCATGTTTTGACTGCAAGGAAGTTTTACTCGTTCAACACTTGTACCTTGGAGTACTCTGCCTTGGACATGAAATTTCAACTCCAAAAAATTGACACCTTTTTATTTATCTGATCAAGAACGATAAAGGGCTAGGACCAGTTATTAATTTCTCTATTTTTTATTTTACATTTTTTTAAAAAAAAATCGAGAACTCACACACCATCGTCTCAATCCCAATCCATTGTTTCGTGATATAAAACTAATCCATTTTTCATTGACGGGAACAAGTATCAAGAAAATTGACCTACCAACATAATTTAATATTAAGCTACGTGATTGATTAATTCAGCCTTACTCATCCTTGCCGCTTACTTAAGTTATTTATAATTATAATTATGCGTATGAAGAAAGAACTACTAGTCTTGCGTATCCTTCTGGACAGCAGCACTACCGTTAACATGAATTCTCAAGAGATGTAGGATTTAATATTTATTTAAAACCCGGTCTAACTTGTTACTAAGTATAGGATCTAGCTTACTCGAGGTTTGGATAGTTTCGCTCAAAGAAATAAGGAAATTAAAAATTAAATTGATCCAGTTAAAGCCCTGCTTAGCAATTAAGTAATTTTTTATTTTTGCTATTAAAAAATATTATTTTAAAATTTTTACACAAGAAGGTTGTTTTGATTGAGTTTTAAAATAATGAGATTTAATTTCTAAATTAGAATAGATATAAATTCATTGAAAGAAGACCTCCCTTTCATATTTGCTCGGGTCTTAACTCGCTTTTAAAAAAATTCAATCTCTGGTATCTGGATCACAATTCTTTTAATTGATGTAGAGTTTAGCTGGTTTTAAAATTCTGCTTTCTAGATCAACCTCAATATATTAGAATTATTATTATATATATATATATATATTAAATTCTTTTCAGTGTTGATATGACTCGTTTAGACAATATTAATTTATAAAATTCTTTAAATTTAATTAAATTAAAACTCAATTTAATATATTAAGTTCAATAATTATGATGGTAAATAATATTAATATTTTTAAACAATAAATCTTTTAAATTAGGATTCAAACTTCTCGAAAAAGTTAAATTTTCACGAGATACCTTATGTCTTCATTAATAATTAATTAAGAGCTCATTTGCTTTTATATTTTAAAAATCTTAATTTTTTTATTATATATATATATATTTTTTTTCATATCATTATCTTAATTTTTTTATTATATATATATATATTTTTTTTTCATATCATTTTTAAAAATAAATTTATTAATTTTATTTTTTAAATAAAAACCATTTAAAAAAATAAGCGCTACAAAGTACAAACGGTATATAAAAAACCCTGTCCCTCACCCACATTTACGGTACTTACGCCCTTACATCGATCCTTCCTCGCTGGACCCCTCTTAACTCTCATTGGCTCTTGCCTCCCACTCTCCTTAAAAGCGCGTGACACGACCCTCCCTTTAAAATCCCGATTCCTTCCCTCCTTTACAAATCCCTCCCCCTCTCTCACTCTCGCAGACCAAAGGATTCCCCTCTTCCTTCCCGTTTCTCTTCTCTCTATCAAAATTCCCCATCTCGTCCGATTCGATTCAACTCACCGAGTCATGAAACCAGTTCAACCACCACCACCACAACCCCTTCCCTCCACCAATAGTCACACCAACAACAGGAGACCGCGTCGCTTCCCTGACCTAAAACTACCTCTCCCTCAACGTAACCCTCGGCTAGCCGTACCCCTCCCTCTTCCACCCAACTCCGGCGTCTCAAACTCCTCATCCTCCTCCTCAGCTCTTGCTCAACTCAGTTTCTCTGAACTCGATCGAATCAACCGAATCGGACGCGGCAGCGGAGGCACCGTCTACAAAGTCGTCCACCGTCCAACGAGCCGCCTCTACGCTCTGAAAGTCATCTACGGCAACCACGAAGACTCCGTACGGAACTCGATCTGCCGTGAGATCGAGATCCTTCGCGACGTTAACCACCCTAACGTCGTTAAATGCCACGACATGTTCGATCACAACGGTGAGATCCAGGTCCTTCTAGAGTTCATGGACGGCGGTTCGTTAGAAGGGACCCACATAAACCAGGAGGGATATCTATCCGACGTGGCACGGCAGATATTAAACGGCATCGCATACTTGCATAAAAGGAAAATTGTGCACAGAGATATTAAGCCCAGTAATCTCTTAATTAACTCTAAAAACAATGTTAAGATAGCTGATTTTGGGGTTAGTAGAATATTAGCACAGACAATGGATCCTTGCAATAGCTCAGTGGGCACAATTGCTTACATGAGCCCAGAAAGGATAAATACTGATTTGAATAAAGGAATGTATGATGGGTATGCAGGGGATATATGGAGTTTAGGGGTTAGCATTTTGGAGTTCTATTTAGGGAGGTTTCCATTTGGGGTAGGGAGACAAGGTGACTGGGCAAGCTTAATGTGTGCAATTTGCATGTCACAGCCACCGGAAGCACCGGCTACTGCGTCCAGGGAGTTTAGGGATTTTATTGCTTGTTGTTTGCAGAGGGAGCCGGCGAGGAGGTTTACTGCCAATCAGTTGCTGCAGCATCCGTTTATTGTGAGAAGAGCTGGAGAGGGTAGTGGTGGTAATGGTACTCACAGTTTGATGTTGCCTCCTCCACCTAGGCCAATTCTTTAGTGGGTAGTTGCTGTAGTTTTTGAATTGAATTGTTGTGGGTTGTTGTTGTTGTTGTTTATGATATTAATGTGAATTTCTTT